CTGCAAGAGCAGTAAGTGTTCTTAATTACTGATCCATCTTTGCAGCCCCATCACTTAATGTATCCTACATCAAAATTTCAAGAAAACCCATATGAGAGTTTGGGAAACTGGAGGAAAATATTTATCAATCAGTACAGAGATGTCAGAGACTCAAAGGAACCCAATGAATTAGGTTGAAAGCAAGAGTAGGGATGATAGCCATGCAGGGTGGAAGATCATCACCTCCAGGAACTGAGAGCAATGTGCAGAAAGAAATGCTACCATTTAATCTGTACATCTTCTGGCCATGTGACAAGGGCACATTTCTAGTCCTGTCTACTACTTGATGCCATTTTCTAACATACAATAAAGAATAGTAAGTGCATATTGTCCAGGTTCTTAAAACAACAGCGGAAGATTAGTGCCCTAGAGTCTAAGTTTAGGAATAAATTTAATTAGCCCTTGAGTTGGTTCATTAGCCGTAGTAGAAATCCAAGGCTGTGTTGTACAATTGCTGTTGCATAATAGTCAATGGTGTTTTCCACCTCTTGACAATTTTCTACAAGCCATGTAACCTCTTTGTAAACACTAATATACTTTTGAAACTATTACTAAATACTGTATGCTACTCTTCTTTGAAATCACATCTGGCATGTCTCCTGGTTTTAAGAACTCCCACGGTTCTGATTTCTCATTCTGAGTCTCAAGCGTAAGTCTGCAGGATATTTGGGATGCTAGTTGATATCTATGACCTAGACCACCATACCACTGGCCAGTGGTCTGCCTTGTGGGTAAGTTTAGACTTGTCTAGGAGGCAAGCAAAAGTATCCAAGCAGGGCATTCACAGGGAGAAACCTAGAAACTTGAGGGATCTTTGTGGGGAATGGCAAGTCGTTATCAGCATGAATCCCAAGTGCCTTAGACAGTACCCGGCCTTGTGCATGAAGACAACAGTAGATAGTGCTCCCCAGTGGCCAGCTGTGGCCGACATGTTTTCTCATGCAGTTTTCCTTAGATTTGTTTTGAGGCAGGATAGAGAGACAAGGAGAATGATAGGGACCTCCATGTGGACCACCCTATGAAGTAAGTGCCTTTATTGTCCCTTGGGCAAGTCAGCAACCCTAATGCCTTCATTTGTTCCACTTGTCCTTGCTTCTTGCCCCAGCTCAGTCAACATGATCATGGATGTCCTCTGGTTACCCTAGAGGGGCTTCCCTTTCCCATCACATTTATAATTATGCTGGCAGTTTTATCACCTGTGATGGTAAACACTGTCAAGTTGACCTGATTTTAAATTACCTAGGAGACAAACCTCTGGCATAACTATAAGGGGGTTTCCTAAGTGGGTTAACTGATGTGGGAAACCCGTCATAACTCCATAGGTAGAGCTGAAGACTAAGTAAAGAGGAGAAAGCAAGCTGAGCATAAGCCGCCCTTGCATTCTACTAGCTGACTGTAGAAGCAATGTGTCCAGCGGTCTCGTACTCCTGCTACCACGGCTTCCCCCTTCCTCACCATGATGGATGGACTGCAATCCCTCAAACTTTAAGCCAAAACAAAGCTCTCCTCTGCTAAGTGGCTTTTGATTTGGCATTTAGCCACAGAAATGAGAAAAACAACTGAAAGACAGTTATCCAAATCTTAATTATACTTAGTCCCGAGACTCACACATCACTCCAACCAGAAGACAGACCAGAAGACAGTGAGAGGACAGATAGACTCAGCACAGGAGGAAACGATTCTTAAAAAGAACTATGAGGCAGTGACATGTGAGCAGCTGTAAATGTGTAACAGGGAACTGAGGAAGGGCTAAAGTCCAAACTCCAAGATGTTGTGGCAGCTGACTGGATGATGGAGAGATTCCTCTAGATGTTCAAGCTGGAGCTGGTCCACAAGCATTGGATAAGAACAACCATCAGAGGCTGAAGGGTATGCACAGAAGAGTCAGAGGGCCCGGGCTCTCACAGGGAGACTATGCAAAGCTTGATAAGAAATACATAGGTCTGAATGGAAGGGATAAGGTCAATTGGCCTGCCTAGGCTGGAAAATAGCAATAGTCTCTTGCCCTCTGAGTACAAGACTATGGCATCAGTCACCAAATGCCCACCACACACACACACACACACACACACACACACACACACATTCACATTCTGATAGTGCAGGAGTCAAAAAAAAGCACAAATGTAGTGATAGAACAAGAAAGAGATAACCCCGAGATCCGGGGTTTCAAGTTTCAAGAGCTTACAGGACCCTCTACTGAACATGGTGGTCCCTATAAAAAATAACCATCCACATCCACATTTAGGGAAAATAAGTCTAAGGACACCATAGGAAACTGAGAGGATTCATACCTTTAAAGCTGGCCATTCTAAAATGTCAGGTTTTCCACCATAAAATTATTACCTAATACTGGAGTTGAGTTGCTACTGCTTACTTCAACATCCATGAGCACATACAGGAAGTGGATCTTTAAATTTTCTAATTCAGTGGGTTACCACCCTAAAACTCTGTCTTCCACCTCAATCCCCAGAACGGATTTTCTAGGGTGGGAACCAAGAGTCAATAAGGGCAGAGCTCAGCCTTGCCCCTCGGGTCGGGTGGTCAGTCATGCTTTTGAGACATGTGATGTATATGATTCTCTTGCCAATGTCTGCTCCCTTTTTTTTTTCATTCTGTGGTTATCCATCTTTGGGTACCGCATGAAATTCAGATTCAAGGTCATTCCTGCTGGTATCACCTTCTCACTCCTCTAGGGGTTATCAGGGCTGTAAAGGGCATTAACTCAGAACAAACAGATCTTTAATGCTGTGTTCGTGCTAACCTGACAATCACATGAACATGCAGATTCCTTTCCACAACATAGGGTACAAGTGTGTCGTTATAATATACATAGGAAAATACCACTATGTGTCCCTTCTATCCCTCATTAAAGCCATAGAACCCCACACTCCAAATCTAGTCTGCAATGGGAACTGTGTATATCACGGAAGATGTTTCTTCAAAGAAGAGTTTGGCTTAACACTGTTTCTTCAATGGCTGTGCAGTATTTAGAAGTCTATGTTCTCTGCATAGTGTTGAAATAAAAAAATAAATAAAAATAAAAAAAAACAGAGTTTTCTGAGTTTTCTCAGGTATCACTTCTCTATTCAAGTTCCTATAGGTCTCTGTCTCTGCCTGTCTCTGTCTCTCTGTAGCACCTTGCCCATGCCTCAAGTGAACCAGGAATGGAGTCCTGAACTTAAGATCTGGGTATCTGCTCTCTCCAAGAAAAATTTAAGAGACTCTGAGTTGAAATTTGGGCCAGGCTTCAAATGCTTGGTTCACTAGACTCCAAACAAACATAAAACCCAAGAATGACTTAAAATACACAAGACAAGCTGCAGCAGTCCTGAGTGGTAAATGCCAGTCCCTGGAGTATTTGGTTTGGTATGGTTTAGGTTTTTTGGCCTTTTTCCACGTGGTTCTAAGATGGCTGCAAGAAACCCCAGTACTGGATTCATACGTGTTGCTCAAAAAGGACAGGAAAATAAAACCTCCTTGTTGTGGTGTGTTCAGAAGATCTCTTCCCACTCCCTGAGTTTTCACGAAATAGGCTATTACTGACGCTCACCTCCACTCCTATCTCTGGACAAGAATGTGGCACCATTGTAACTAGAGGGGTGACAATGACTCATGTCCCAGACTTAGGTACAATGGCCCATGTGTGTCTATTAGTAAGAATGAGTGAGTAATAAGAGATAGTACACAAAGTGCAACACTCAGCTGAGTCCATTTTCTCAAGGCTATCACACTGTTCAAAGAATGTTCTATGTGGAAAGAACATTCCAAATGCAGAGCCACTACCTGCATGGAAAACAAAAAAAAAAAACGCTATTGGAAAAGAAATGTGCCTTTTAAGTGGCCCACTGGAGGACCTAGCATGTCACAAAGAACAGCGCAAAGAAGGGTTATTAACTGGGAGTCATTATCAGTCTCCTAAAAAATAATTCTCCATTCTCCAGGACTTTCCAGTGATAACCAGTGAGGCAGAGACATGGATAAGAGTAGTCTGAACGGGAGCTTTCACAGCACCGCTCTTTCCTGGCTGTTGAAAACTGCTCTATTTATTAATGCACATGCCACAGGTGCTTACAAATATCAATGCATTTTGTTGGCATGCTAGACAGAGGAAGTTGTTTGAGAGGAGTATATGTGTATGGGGGTGCAGATGTATGGAGGTATAGAGGCCAGAGGTCAAACTAGACTTCTCTTCCTCTGATGCTGTCCACCTTGTTTCTTGAGGCTTGGTTTCTCACTACATATGGCTTCCATATTAGGCTGTGTGGGGCAGCCAGTAAGTGTGAGGTCTACCTGTGTGTCCACCTCCTCAGCACTGGAGTAATCAGTGAAGGCCACCACATCCAGTTTTTACATGGATTCAGAGATCCTTATGTTTGTACAGCCAATTCCCTACCAAGTTAACCCTTGAAACCCAGAAGCATTGTTTTTGAAGATCTTTTCAAAATCTCTCATTTTGGTTCCATTTTCCTTTCTAGCCACTTTTTAAAATAATTTTTATTCACTTACATTCTGATTGAAGCCCCCCCTCTCAGATCGCAGCCATTTTTAAGTCGATCTGAGGCCCTCAAAGTCTATAATTCCAATGCAAGAAAGAAAAAAAAAAGGAAACAGAAAAATAAAACCCCAACAGCAATTAGTTGATGGGGGGAAAACAAGAGTTGGCATCATTCCAGTCAAGGAAAGAAACAAGATAGCCTCATAATGAGATTGTGCAAGTCTCAACTGGATGGCCAACATGCACTAAGCTATATCTACATACCCAGGTGTAAAACTAGCTAGAATTTGCACACTCAACACTTTCCCACCATAATACATGCTGTCTTCTTATGACTAATTACTGATGTGTCTCTCTGTGTCTCCTAGGAATCCTAAAGAGAGTAGGAGAAACCCCAACAAAACAAAAAACCAAAGCAAACAAGATTAGACCCAAAGAACTGATAACTGTCTTATGGTTATCTCTAGAAAGGTGTGTGGCATTTATGGACCATGATAAAAGGATAGCAGCTTCCCATACTTTATGCAGGACCACAAGAAGCCAGTGATGATGTGATAACTAGTCTCCCACAATAACCTGCATTTGGACCCAATACATGAGGAAGAACTTGCACACACAGGGCCATAGGGTGGGGTTCACTATGACTAGCTGCAGGTGGTTACACTGTATAACACAGCAGGGCTTCATGAGATGAACAGGACACTTCATGTGGTCTAAAAGTTGGAGCAGAGATCAGGTAGGAGTACCAGCAACTTGTATGGGATGGGCCCTGAGGAAGACAGCCATGAGAGCAGGGCAGATGAGTTCTGTGCACTAATGGTCTTTGCAAGTCTTTCAGAGGATGTAGTAGTTCTCCTTGGAAACAGGCTTCTTTCTCTATTTCTCTTGTAAAACTTTACACTCTGTCTCATACCGTTGGGTTATGATGACCCGAGACAGACAACAGGACAACCTCACGCCAATCAGCTGGAAAAATGTGACTGTAAACAGCATTCCAATTATGATGGCCATGTTTGCCTCCCAGAAACCTACCATCAGATCATAGCAGCCCCTTTGGTAAACTTTGGTGGCAGCTGCGGTCAGATTTTGTAGATCCTTGGCATTGCAGTCAGTTTCATCCTTGCAGCAACTGTGGGGAATACCATGATTCAGGAAGTACGGGTTGTCATTCCAGTCTGTGTAGTTCTTCACACCACAGCACATCAGATTATACTGCACCTGGTCCACTGCCTGGCTCTTCCTATCATTGCTGTTATAATTCTGTATAGCATTGGTATAAATCTTCAGGAATTTGTTCTTGATCTCATGGTGAAGCAAAAGCCCTGAGACACTAGCAACAAGCTCAGCCAGGAACACCAGTAACAGAAACAGAGAATACAGTTTCAGCATCCATGGGCTTCCTCGGCATGCAGCAAAGCATCCAAAAAAAACAAAAATGATAATCATGGTACCAGTTCCAATGAGCACACCGGGAATATCTATGGCAAGAAGAGAGAGATACACGCCCAGAGTGAGGTTTCCCCAGACTCCAAAGACCAACAAGATAACCCCAGTGCTCCAAAAGCCAAAGCAGTAGATGAGGAGGAAGATTTTGAGACAGGATGCCACAAATTTGGTCTCCATTCTCCTCAGTGCCACAATACCGCTCTCAGAGAGAGAAAAAGCAGGATTTCCAAGTTGGCTCTTCCTATAAAATCCTTGCTGTAGGTTTGTTTAATTCCCCTGAGGCTAGAGTCACTGACCTCTGCTAGTCTGGATGGCAAAGGAAGACTCCAGGGAGTGAAGTTCTTGCTTCCTGTGTTTGGAGGACTGCTTTGCAGGAGATAGGCTTCGTTCTGGGAGGTGGATACAGTGGAAGGCTGGGGCCCCTGACTTCTTCCCCATTCGCCTTGTTCCTCTACCACTGGGTCATCAACTCATTCCCTCTTTCCTGCCACTGTCCCTCATTAGCGCTGTTCATTAGCATTTCCCCTTCATTTCTGGATTGCTGTTCTTCTCTCAAGCCCTAGCCCACCTGTAGTGTGGGGGATGGTATTGATGTCCCTTTTTCCCAAAAGGATATAGGCGTTAGCCCTTTTCATTGTCCCGCCCTGACATGTCACAGGTTGTCAAGCTATGGCCCTCTTGCAGCTGACCATCTATTTACATTGTGACATAATGAGGAACCCTGTGATCACCACACATAGGTGCTGGCAGAGACAAAGCAACTAAGGGGGAAAGCAAGGTTTTTGACAATGGCAAACAATCACCTAAGCTCCCAGTTTTGACTCTTACAGATTAAAAACAGTTGAAAGTTTTTCTCTCTTTTGTAAGCTGTCGTAAATTAGATGATGACAGATACGACAATTTGGAATTCATGAAAACGTGTCATAAAAGGTCTTGTAGATTTTTGCAACCTCTAACCTAGAGAGGCCAGCTGCATGAAGAATTCCATTTACCCTGAACTGTCAGGAAGCACAAAATACAGGGAGTAGGAGGTTTGAGCAGATGCAGGTGTAAAAAGTGAACTTTGACATCCCATCTTCCCCCCCAAAAAAAAAAATGTGCTTTCAACAAAATCAGTGGGATCCTAACGATAGCCAGCACCAAGCTACAAGACAAGTGATCTCTGTAACCTCTAGGCATTTGAACCAACCAAGGTAGAACCCTGTCACAGTGACACAAAGAATAACTGAATTTCTAACCCACAACCTCCTGGGCTTACAGAACAACAGGTGTTACCCACAGCTAAGCTTTAGGTACAAATTTTGCTGCAGTGGATAGGTAGCCCAAGGAACACTGGGGAAATCCTCCATCCTTTTCTTTTCTGTTCTTTTCTTATTTTAAATTATTCATTTCCTCAAATACAGATGGACCGTAGGTTGTATCTCTGTTACTGTCATAACAGTTATTTCAGATGGCCCTCAGAAAAACCCTAGCACAGGGTAGGTAGGAACCTATAGTAAAAACATATTCTAGGCAGTCACTTGTTGCACTCCTAATTAAGAACAGTTGAAGGTATCTGGTAAGGCTTCTTATGTTCTTAGTAAGAATTCTGAAGCTAAGACAGTTACTCAGAACTGTCTCTTGGACTCCTGAGCACAAGCCCAGGTGAGCATCAGCAGAACTGTTCTTGCTGAACTTGAAAGTGGGATTAACTGTTTGACTTGCCCAATGGTGACAGCCACAGGAGCATAAGAGGTAAGGAGGATAAGAGCATGTCCCCAAACTGGTAGCATCTACTCTTTGAACCCCACACTATTGGGCATTGTGATAGCTAATATTGTTAGTTTTTCTACACTAACTTTTCCAACATTTGATCACATGTTGATATAGCTGTTTTCTGCATGTATTTTTAAACGTGATTGATGTTCGCATGAGTAAACTCTATATGTAGTAGACTACCTTCCACAGTATGAGTGTGTATTATACAAGGGACAAGTCTCTCCTGAGCAGGAGGAATTGGCACATGGGCTGTAACATCAACTCTTCCCTAAGTCTCTGGGCTGTATGCTTTAGGTCTCCCATGGAGGCCATGGGTCATTTCTCTGTGAAATGCGTCAGGAACAAGTCTGTGGCCTCAAGTTATCTCCCATACTAAAAGGTATGTGTGTTGGAGATAACTTGTCATTTTCTTGTTTAAGAGGAAAATTGCGGATAACCATAATTTTGTTCTTATAAAATAATAAGCCAGATACAACAGGGAATGAGCAGAGCTTGTCACAGGGGCAGGAGAAATGCAGAAAAAGCCTCTGGCTCCCTTGTGCTCACTACAAAGCCTGGAAGGTCATGCAGTGTTCTATACACTACAACAGAAACCAAAAATAAAGTAGCAATGAGGGAAGGTTGCCCAATCTTTTTGATGGACAATGAAGAAAGCATAGACTAAAAATGGAGAAAATAGGGTTTTGCATCTAAACAAAAGTGACTGAGACTATGACACATCATGGGGCTCACTAATGGGTTACTGTGGGACTTTTCAGGGAGCTTAAAATTTCATTTTTAAATTTTTTATTGCCATATATGGTCCTCATGTGAATGACTGATTGAAGGTGATCACAGAGCTTCCCGCTGCACTAAGTTAAAGCACTAGCACTGGCTTCTTGAAGAAATGTAGTGCTCCTAGGGATTCCTGTTTCAGGGAAATAATTACAGTGTGTTAGGGGCGAAATGGTGTTTTTGTGGTAGCCTATGTCTAATAATTTATAGAATAGACACAAACAAAAAGTTCAAGATTGGAAGATAATAATCACAAAGTATTACCATGTTGGGCGTCATTGACAGAACTATCCTTTCTGGGTCTGAGACATTATTTGTTTGCTAGTTTTCCGTTTGTCTCTCTTGACCTCTATTCTCCAAAGTCCTACAGTAAGTCAGATCCCTCTTCCTTTCTCTCATACGTACAAAATGACTTCAGTTACTGCCCAGCTGGGGCTGACCTCCACAGTATAGCCTTGCAATGCACTTGAATGTCCCAGGGGCACATCAACAATTCAACAAATCACTCTTCTACTTGCTCTGACTTCCCTCCTGTATTTCTCATGTCCACACTTGCATTTCCAGTCAGCAACCCAGAAAACTGGTACTTGCCCTTTCTCCTCGCCTGTAACAACCAATCGGTTACAGGCTGTGACAGCCATTCCTCCCCCAACCAAGTCTTACAGACCATTCCATCCTGCCCATCTCACTGTGGCTGCCTTGATTCAGTACAGGCTGCCAGGATCTCAGAAACAGATTCTAACTGATCCACCTTGTTTTCATAGAAGAGAAGTTCCAGCCTACTCAATTTTCCAGTTGTGCCTCCTCCTGGATGCATTAATGCCTTTAAGGTGCATGGTATATTATTGGATGGATGGATGGATGGATGGATGGATGGATGGATGGATGGATGGAAGAATGGACTAGTAAGTTAATAGACCCAAAAGCAAGAGTAGCCCATTTAATCTTGGGACAGCAAAGAGATCTTTACAAACTATGTGACAGTTGTATTAGGCTACAAGCACTGATATAAAACCACTTCAAGATGGACATGGGGCAAACACCTTTCATTCCAGGACTTAGTAGGCAAGAGGATCTCTGTGTAATTGAAGCCATCCTGACTTACATGGCAAGTTCTCTCCAGGGCCACACAGTAAGACTTTGCAAAAACAAAGCAAAACAAGAACCAAAAAGAACAATAACAACAACAACATTTCGCTTATAGGAATATCATGAGGTAAAGAAGCCTCAATAAGCCAAATATATTCCAAACTAAATTCTTTCTGTAGTGTAGTAGGCAGATGAGGCTAGTAGAAATGATACAAGAAAACAGATCTGAGGCAGATACTATCATCTCTCTTTCAGATGGTGAGACGCAATCTCTTGTGCTAGTATGGATCAGTCAAATATGTGGACAGATGTTTTCTCAACAGAAGACAACGTTCAAAGTGAGAGGCTGTCAGGACTCTGCTCATAAGACCTAATAAAGGACTAAAAGGAAGAGAAAACTGGCCTTGGGAAAGCACTGTAATTTGAAGGTTTTTTTTTCAAGGAGACATATATTACTCCTGAGCTACCCAATTTTAGAGACAAAAGGAGTCAAATTCTTCAATGAATTATTAGGGCGATTCAATAAAATGCGAACATCTCATTCTCTTCCCAGCCTCATCTTTCCGTGTACATATGACACTCTTCATATTGGTATTTGGGGAGAAAGGTATCTGACCCCAGACACCTTATGTTTTCTTGCAACTTATACAAAGAGGCAAAGAATGTATAGTAGAAAATATCCCCTCACATGTTCTGGAGAGTCCGAAATGTTTGCTTCAAAAGGAATGAGCCAATGGGTTATTATTTTACTTAAGACATCACCACTGGCAACAGTTGGGAGAAATGAGAAGTGGTGTATCTTTTACCATGGTAAAACACTGAACTTTGATCTTTCTATGGTGATGGACTATGAAACTTTTGTCTATTTTATCTCTGAGAAAAAAACACAACACCCTGAACAACACAGACTACAAGATGTCTTCCTGAAGTTACCAGACAGCTACCACAGTGGTATGGAAATCTTGTACAAGATAGAAACCCAGTGAAGTGGGTCAATATCTAGAGTTACTCTTTTGTCCCTGGATCGAAGAAGGCGAGCAAGAATGTATCTAATGATTTTCTTCAGATTAAGAAACTGAAAATTGGATATTAATGGAGAGGGGAGAGTAATTTGACCTCTAATTTACCAAACCAACAAAAAAAAATCTAAATGTAATACTGATTTAAATGTGAAAATCAGCACAGTAATTAATCTTAATGGCTTCTTGATAGGTAAGGTTTTTTAAAATACATAAAAGGCCCTAGTCATTAAGGATAAGATTATTATTCACCTGCATAAAAATCAAGAACTTCTATTCAACAAAAGACAATATTATACAGTAAAGATAGAAAACAGGGAAAGAAACATGTAGGCCAGAGAGCCAGGGTCCACAACGTAAGAATAAAACAATCGAGCTAGAGAAAGATAGTCAAGTCAATAGATAAAGAGTAAATAGATAAACAATACAACAACAGGCACCCCCAACTAGGTGGTAAACAAACAAAGTCTACTGAACCTCATGAAAAATTAAGGAACTACAATTAAAACTATAGTAACTTACCAGTCACATCACAAGTTGTTAAAATGGAAGACTGTAGTTATCAAGTGCTGGAAGAAAGAAAACACACAAAGGTGTCTTCTAGCCTCCACATGAGCAGAAACAGTCATACATACATACACTGAGAGAGAGAGAGACAGAGACAGAGACAGAGACAGATAGAGAGACAGAAAGAGACAGAGAGAGAGACAGAGAGAGACAGAGACAGAGAGGGACAGAGACAGAAAGAGACAGAGATATCTAGATCTATATATATGAGACCAATATACATATATACATACATACAAAATAATTACATATATACATCAGTTACAAGTGTGTATATATATGCATACACACATATATTTACATGTATACATATATACACATATACATACATACATACATACATACATACATACATACGAGAC